TCTGTGGCTCCTCTGGACCCTCTCCAACAGCTCCCTGTCTTTCTTGTACTGGGGGCTCCAGACCTGGACACAGCACTGCAGATTGGGACACATGAGGGCAGAGCAGAGAGGGACAATCACCTCCCTGTCCCTGCTGCCACCCCTCTGCTGATGGGATGATGATGAATCCTCTTAGGATGACTGTTAGATGTGGCTGCTGACCTGTTTTGCTCTGTGCTCCAGCGCTGTCTGGAGAGACAAACTCCACTGTGTCAGTGCTGTGTGCTGATGCCTCGCTGCTCTGTGCTATGACAGCAGTAGGCCTGTACCTTGTTGGGAGTGGGTCAGCCCTTGCAGAAGAGCTGGCTGAGGATGAGTGCTGCTCAAGGTGGCTGAGGCAGGCTGCCCCAGTGAGCTGGTGCTGCCCTGTGAGTGCTCATGGCTGTGCTCTGGAAGCTGAGGTTGCATTCTGCTGCTTGCTGTTGGGACGCAGCACATACCTGCCTTCAGCTCACTATGGGACCAGGTTGAGTCCCCCTTTGGAGGGTGATAACTGTGAGGTGTTGGGCTGTGGTTTCTCTCTTTAAAGGCAAGCTCTGCTACCCTGCTGTGCATGCTTTCGTGGAGGCTGCCAAGCAGGGTTTCTCTTGTGGCTTGGGTTTTGTCTGTGGCTTTCTGCCTGTGTGCGCTGATGTGAGTCTCACAGGCTGGGGAGCTGTTGTAGTACAGATGCTTGTTGAGAAGTTCTCTTTATTTTTCTTCTTCAGATGAGGTGGCTTTTATCAGTGGAAATGAAATAAGGTATTACCCTGTGACTTGTGGAATGGGGAGAGCTTTTGATGTGTCACTGTCTGTCTCAGTGATGGAAATCAGTGCTTCCACCTGAGTTTCTGCACCAGAGTCTCTGTGCAGTACTTCAGCCTTCAAAGGAAGCACTAAAAAGCAAGTGCAGTTGGCAGGCTGCAGGCAGATAAGGAGCTGAACTGGCTGCATCTCTGCTGCTTGGCTCTCTTCTCCTCTTCCCATCTCCTTAGCAAATCACAAGTGTTACAGAATACTTAGGATTAAGGTGCTGTGCTGGGTGCCCGTCGTGTTACTCAGGTCAGTTCTGTGTGGCTGTGGGCTCAGATCACAGAGGCTGTATCTGGCAGTGATTAGAAGCTGCTGCGTGGTGGTGATGTTGTGCTTGTGCTGTGCATGGAGTGCTTGCCTTTATTTCAGTGTGCTGCTGGGTGCAGAGGACAGTTTTCTGTGCCAGTTTCAGTCTGAGCTCAGCACCTTTGGAGGAGCCTTACAGCCATGCCCAACACTTTGTGTTCCTGTGGGCCGAGCCGGGACTCACCATGAATTGCTGTCTGTTCTGCAGGTTGTGCCTTGGACTCTCCTGGCACTCCGACCCCCAGCGACATCAGAGAGGAAACGTACGTAAGCAGCTGCTCAGCTTGAGCTCAGCAGCTTCACGTTGTGCTGTTAACAAACGTGGGCTGATGAGAGGCTTGACGTGGCTTCTCCTTTGCTCTTATTTTACCTTCTGGAAGGCTGTGCTCCCAGCTCTGCAAGTGCAGGCTGCCTTGCTGTGCTGTCTGCCCCAGAGCTCGCAGCTCAGTGAGCTGAGGCAGCCTGCAGTGGAAGCTGCAGTTTGCTCTGGGTCCTTAACTGGGAGCTTCTGCCTGCCTGTGTCCTGATTCTGTGCAGTTGCTTTTAGCATGCAATTTGTCTCTTGATCAGCTTTAAATGAACACGTTTCCTAATCTTCCATCCTGGGGGTGGGGGGCAGATGCCTTTGGTCCTCAATTTCCCCAGCTTTTCTCTTGGCACCGGCTTCGTGTCTAATCAATGCTGGAAGTCCTTTGAGGAAAGGAGGGAGAGTGGGATTCCAGCAAGAGCTTTGAGAACCAGGGTGGGATAAGCTGGCCATAAATACCTTTTGAGATGGACAGTGTTATCAGGAAGCATCTGGCTTCTGTTTGCTCTGTGGCTTAAAACAAGGTTGATTTTTGAGCGTGCTGTCCTTTGTTGTTAACTGTGGGGCATTTCTCTTTCAGATTTGAGAAGGCAATTCTTGCATCTAGCAGGCTGAAGTAAGTATTCTCCTGTCTGACTTCTAGTCACTGCTGTGGGTTTGCCTCCAGCCTTATAGCCCTGCAAAAAGGGAGCGTTGCTCTCGTTACTGTCTTACAAAAGGAAATGTTGGAAATAAATGTGTTCTTTCTCATTGCAGCCTTCGACTGCCTCTCAGAAGAATACATTCACTGCCGGTGAGTGAGGTAGTGCTGACCCTGCAGGAGTGTTAAAGGGCTTACTGTGCTGACTGTTTGTAGTTGGGAACCTCCCACATCTTGCTCATTTACGCTCTTCTAGAGCAGCTGTTATGGTATTGATTGAAAACTGAAAGCTGGGGCTTAATGAACTTGAAATGTAGTTTGTGTGTTGGCTGCAGGATTTCTCCTGTGTAGCTTTGTCTGTTTGTAGTGCAGCTGAAACCCCTGCACACAGCCTGCACTCACTTGCAAAGGAGGAGCTCACAGTGTCACTAATGCCCCTCCTGTGCTTAAGATGTACTTATGCAGAGGCTGCACTGTGTGATGCTTAACTAACACTTGTCTGCACTGTACAGCAAAGACTCCTGGGCTCCAGTCCTGCTCTGAAGAGAAGCCATTCGGATTCCACGGATTGTAATGCTTTTCAGCTCCTAGAACAGAATGAGAATAAGGAGAATGTGAGTACTGCATGTCTCTGGAGGTGGTGTGCTGTGAGAGGCGGCGCTGAGGAATCGGCTCTCCTCGTGGGCAGACGTGGTGGGAGAGGTTTGGGAGCTGCTGCCAGGCTGCAGGGCGTCACAGAGCTTTGTGCAGCTCAGCTTAGAGAAAGCTGCAGCAAAGTGGACGGCGCTGATTGCGGTGACTGCAAGCTGATAATAGGTTAATAGCAAGGAGGGAGGCTTTAATTGTACAGCTTCTTCCTCCTTGCTGGAGCACCTGGCTCCTCTTGGTCTGCGGCAAGGCAAAAAGCTTCCATAACGCTGTCTGGGTGATGGTGCCTCCAGGAGGCTGCCCAGATCTCCATACTTTCTTTCAGCCCCGATGTGGGGAGCCCTGGTTCCTCAGCAGCACGGCTGGGCCGTGATCTTTGTGCTTTGGGAGGCCTTGCTGCTGGCAGTGCTGTGTGCAGGCTGCTGACAGGCCCAGCGCCATCACCCAGCAGCAGGCGATGTTCTGCTCAGCAGGCTGCAGCTGTAGCTGCCTTACCATGGCTTCTTCAGCAGAGAACAGAAGAAAACCAAAATGCCTTGAGCCTGCAGGTAATGGGGTGAGAACTTGGTTGTATCAGGTGAATCACTGAATGTTTTCAAAGCAAAGATGTTACAACGCACTCAGACTGTTGCTGTTTGGCAGCGGGGAACTTGAATTCAAAACGTCAGGTAGCTTAAATGGGGAGAAAGGAGGTACAAAGGTCCTGGCAGTGTGCACAGCTCATTATTTTGGTAAACTGATCGCTTTTCTCTCTTCAATTCAGGAGTCATTTGAGTTTAAGAAGCCAGCCAAGCCAGCTTCTCGGAGTTCTGCGCACATCCACGATGGGAGGAGTGTTCTTGGCCAAAGGCAGAACTCAGCCCTGGCTGAGGAGGTAAGACCTCAGTGGTCTTGGTAGTCATTCTATCCTCTGCTACCTGCTGGCAGGAGGAAAAACCATGTCGTGGCTGTGTTCTGGGACAGTGCTGTTAATATCATCACTATTCGTGTGCCCAAAAGGAAAGCTTATGTCTGTCAGATGTGAAAATCTGTTTTGTTTGGCTGAGACACTGGGCAGTGCTGAGCTGTGGCTGTGGCACAGAGCATCCAGTGAGTGGATAGCAGTGCAGAGTAGATGCTGTTGGATCCTTGCACAGAAACAGAGCCTGGGGCCGAGTCCTGGCTGTGCTTGTTGAATCTGGTAGTGCTTCATCTCGGTGCTCCTGACAGAGTTGGTATTAATTCCTGTTCCTCTGCCATCATCTGTTCCTCTCCTTCATCCCTTTACTATCCAGTGTTTCCAGATAGGGGCCCTATTGATTGACCAGGCTGATGGACCAAATAAAGTATGGGGGCTTGGTTTGGGGTTTGCTCAGGTCAGTGCATTCGAGGTGCTGGATTAGCCACATCTTAATCACCACAGTGAGATGGCACTGTTTCCATCTGCAGCATCCTGCTGTAAAGAAGAGGAATGTTGTTAAAACTAAATGTTTTGTTCTCAGTTTCCCAGTCAAGAAATGCCCACGGGTGAACTGGAAAACTACAGGCCAGCTTTCCTGCAGCAGCCTTCTCTGACTTGCTCTGAAAGCGAAGATGACGACGGATTCCTGGAGCTCTTAGACGAGCAAGATCTGAAAGTAGGTACCAAAGAAATGTGATGCTCTTCTAAAATCAGCTCTGTGTAACATGGAGCCCGCAGTACACGCACGTTCTGGTGGTAATTCACACTGCAGGTAGGCAGGCACGAGGGGTTCCTGAGAGACTCAGGGGTGTTTCTCAACTCTTCCGTTGTAGCGTCTGTTCTGTGCTGATCCCTCGTGCAGATGATGGGGTTTGCTTGGTGTGTGAACAGCAGGCAGAGAGGTATTGCTGCAGTTCCTGCTGAGTTGTGAAGCTGTGGAGGACGACTGGAAGAGTTGGTGTTTTCTTTAGAAACTCTCTGAGGGAGCTGAAAGTGATATTTGCTTTCAGAAGTCCAGTTCCTACTGAACTTGATGTGCTTAAGGCTTTGGAAGGGCGTCGTTTTATCAGTGAACGAATTGATTTAACTTATCCTTTCCAATGTGGCTCAGCTCATCGCCCAGTGAAATAACAGCCCTGGTAGCGGAGTTCTTAAAACTGCTCAGGCACCTGAATTCAGCTGTAAAGTTTGCCCAAGCTTACAGGAGCTTCAGGTATTTACAGCATCTGTCGGCAGAGAGGCAGATGAGAGCAAACTGTCTTTGTTTCTCAGAACGATGAGGAGATGCCATCTGACGTGGCGAGCCTCTGGACCGCGCCGCTGGTCAGCAGGAGGCCGGACAGCCGGGTGAGTGCTGTGCTCACAGAGCTCGTGGTGCTCTGATCCTGTACCTCAGCCACAAAACAGGGCAGTGTGAGACCCCTGCAGGACTGTGTTCCTGTTAAGCTTGCTGCCTGGGAGGCTGTGTCAGTGTAGGGCAGTGCTCTCAGTGGTGAGCATCCACAGGAACTTGCTTTTTACACAAACACTTAGAAATGGGAAGAGAGCTTGACTTCCCTTATCAGATACTGGCGTATCTTGAATACAGCTCTCACTGCCTTACCTGGAATGCCTGTAGCCCAGACTTCAGGTAATAGACTGTGAGGGTGATGCAGGCTCCGACAGCAGGCTCAGAATCTGCTGCTGGATGGTCTGCTGGTTGATACAAAGCATTCTGCCAGCACATAGCATTGTGCTCTGAGCTCATCTGTCCTCACAGCCAGAAACAAGTGTTAGTGGGAATGTAAGCCCCCAGTGTAGGTGATCTGAGCACATCCTGCTGTTGTTGTGCTGTGACAGCACCTTAGATGAGCCAAACTTTACTGCAGTCGTATCATATAGAATGGTTGGGTTGGAAAGGAGCTTAAGGATCACAAAGCTCCAACCCCCCACCAATGCAGGGCCACCAACCTCCCCATTTCACAGCAGCCCAGGCTGCCCAGGGCCCCATCCAACCTGGCCTCCAACACCTCCACGGATGGACGGGGCATCACAGCCTCTCTGGGCAGCTGTTCCAGCCCCTCACCGCTCTCACAGCACACAACTTCCCCTCACATCCAACCTCCAGCTGCCCTCCCTCAGCTCCAAACCTCGTCCTGCTAACACCATATCATCATATCATGGAATGACTTGAGGTGGGAGGGACCCTAACGATCATCAAGCTTCCACCCCTCTGCTGTAGGCAGGGCTGCCAGCATTTGATGCTAGGCTGGGTAGTCTGGGAGTCTGAGGCCTGCTTAGTTTCTTGTCTTGGTTTTCGCTGGACATCTTCTCTGTCTCTCCCCCAGGCCAGGCGATGCCGCCTCTTTGGCTCTTCGTCTCTGCCCAGCGGTGTGGGCAGAACCACCCAGAAAAGAATGGAGAGGTCCCAGGAGGAGAGTTCTCCAGGGAAAAGCAAGAAGAGGAAAAGCCTGCCTGGAGCACAGTCTGAAGACTCAGCGGTTGGTGGCTCGGTGTTGTGGTGCAGGGGTCTCGTTTGTGAAGGTCACTGGGGCTGAGCTTACTGGGGGAGCTGCTGCTCTGACAGTGTGGTGTGGGGCTGACGGAGGTGGTGCAGGGGCTGTGTGCTCTGAACCCTTACTGATCCTTAGGGGAAGCTGTGTGTCAGGCTGTCAGTAAATGCTGCCTCTTCTCTTACCCTATGGGGAAGGAGTCTCATACCATCAGTGTTTGGCATTCATCTCTGACCTCTCTTCTTCTAGAACACAAAAATAGTAAAGACGCAATCCTCTGCAGCAGAAATTGAGAGCATTTTGGCCAGTGACCAGAGGGACCTTATTGGTGACTTCTCAAAGGTAATCACGTGCTTTGGTTTAATGGTCTCTTTTAGAGAGGTGAAGTAAAGCTCTTCCCTTCTTTGCAGTGCGTCCCCAGTCCCTGGGGGCTGCCAATGGGAATGGTGCTCTCTTAGGTCAGTCCTGAAGTGATTTCTGCAAGACCTTCAGTGCAGGAGCCAAAGAAAAGCTGTGCCCTGAACCCTGGGGTTGTGGACTTTTGAATGTTACGCTTAGCTCGAGAAATCCTTGTCAGTGCAGTGTGTTCTGAAGCTGACTGCTGGGTGCTGAGTGTGTGGCTCACGGCTGGAATGTTCTCTGCTGAATGCTGTCTGTTTTCTAGGGTTATTTGTTCCACACTGTCGATGGGAAGCATCAAGATTTAAAGTACATTGACTCAGAAATGGTACGTGCTCTGGGGACAGCGAGGCATTCTTTACTTCAATAATTAAAAAAGCCCTCAAAACAATTAAAGTGCTTTTTTTTCTTTTTTCTTTTCAGATTGTGTCTGTCCTGACTGGGAAGTTTGCAAGCTTCATTAAGCAGTGCGTGATCATTGACTGCCGCTATCCGTACGAGTACGAAGGAGGACACATCAAGGTGTGCTGTGGTAGTGGGAGAGCAAGGCAGAGCGCATGGAACGGCAGCCCTGGGCTCTCGGTGTGCCTTTGTGCTGTTTGGTCTGCACACACACCTGCTTTGTGCTCTGTAAGGGGTTGGGGAACTGCTTCCCTTCTCCTGCAGAGGAGGAGACAAGTGAGCGGGCAGCTCCAGGGCAGGGTGCATCACCTGCAGTGCCCAGCATCCTCACCTCTGAGGTGCTGGTAGGAGTACGATGCTTCACTGAACCCATGGTCTTTTGCTATAGAATGAGTGGCTGTGGGGGTGTTGTTAAAGCTTGTTGCTCTTTAAGCTTGCTGCCCCTCTGCAGTACAATGAGTGAGATCCAGCAGGCCGCCTCCAGCTGCTGGTGGGGCCCTCTGGGATGGGAGGCGGTGCGGCACTGCGCTGTGTGCGGCGTCTGCTTTGCTTTGAAGCTTTGTCCCCAGTATCAGGAGAGGGTTGGCACGAGTGGGATGGCGCCCATTGCTTACCTGCTGCCTTCACAGGGTGCTGTAAACCTCCACATGGAGGAGGATGTGGAAGATTTCCTGCTTAAGAACCCAATCCCTCCCTCCAAGAACAAACGGGTGATCGTCGTCTTCCACTGCGAGTTCTCCTCGGAGCGGGGGCCCCGCATGTGAGTTACCCACAAACCCCACGTGAGCTGTGGAGGGCAGGGGAGGCACTGCTCCCCCCTGCTGCTTAATGCCATCTTTAACACGGGGTCTCCTCTGCAGGTGCCGCTTTGTGAGGGAGCGGGACAGGCTGGGCAATGAGTACCCCAACCTACATTACCCAGAGCTCTACGTCCTCAAGGGGGGGTACAGGGACTTCTTCCTGCGGTGCCGGGTAAGTGATGCCCCCTGAAGCTCCACGTTTCTGCTCTCAAAATACCTGAACCTCAAATCAGACTTTCTGTGGAGCAGAGAGTGTCTTTCCTGGGGTATTTTTCTTTCTGCTGTTTCACAGCACAGCCCTGCACTGAGAGCAGTCAGAACTTGGCAGCAATAGTGCCTTCATTTCTCTAAGCCAATTCCGTACCTCAGAACTGCCTTGCTGCCGTGGCCAGGAGGCTTTTCCTTTGTTCCTAGAGTAATATATGAAACTGTTTTGTCTTTCTGTAGCAACTAGGAGTTCAAAATATTACACAGAGAAAGTGTTTAAGACTCTTCCCCCAGACTTTGCAGGCTAGGTGGAGAGACCTGGCAGTAATTGCTGCATGACACATGGAAACCTCAAGCCTTGTGCTGTACTAAAAAGCAAAATTAGAAAACTTGAGCTCTGAGTTTCCAACCTGTCCTTCCATGGAGGAGACCAATAGGTGCCAGTGTCTCTTCCCATCATGGTGCTCCTCGTTCTGCTTCTGCAGCACTTCAGTCACTGTATGCCATTTCTCCCTGTCTGATGCTGTGAACCATGGCCTGCCTCTCACTTCAGTCCCTCCCAGGGCCTCACACTTTGGACCATCTCTCAGATTCTCTGCTTGGAGAACTGCTGCAGTTCCAGGCAGATGTGAGATGCTCATCCTCCCTGTGCTCCTGTTTGTGGGGCAGGGCAGTGCTGTGTGCTGCTCCCCATGTGTGATATCCCAGCACTTGGGTTGCTGCTGTTCACAGTGGTGGATGCTGCTGTGTTTTGGCCCTGTGTGGCTGTGGGTGCCTCAGGATTGTTCTGGCTCTGGGCTGGAGGGCCTCGAGGTGGCAGCATGGAACAGCTGATGGCGGTGTTCCATGTGCTGCTCTGTGAGATGGGAGCTGGCTGAGCCAGAGAAGCAAGTGTTCCAGATCTGCATGACTTCAGGGTGAATGCTGAATATACTTTGCTTGCTTGTGCTGTATATTGAAGTCTGCCAAAAGGCTTGAGGTGTCTGCAGGGCCAAAAGTGCTTTCTTTGGTAACCCTCGCTTCAGAAGTAGCTGTAATCTGAAGATCACTGGGCCTTGCTCATCAGTATCTGATGTGGGGCTCCTGTGTGGTTTGTTCTGGTGGCAGTGGTGTCAGCAGCTCTGCTGGCTGTGCTCAGAGCCTGTGATGCAGTCAAATGAGACCAGAAACGAACGCATTTCTTCCCCCAGAGCTTCTGTGAGCCCCAGAGCTACCGCCCCATGCACCACGAGGACTTTAAAGAAGACTTGAAAAGATTCCGCACCAAGAGCCGAACCTGGGCCGGCGAGAGGAGCAAACGGGAGCTGTACAGTCGCCTGAAGAAACTCTGAGGGCCAAAAAAGTGAACAAAGACTGCACCCCGTGGCAGGGGGGAAGGCTGCAGCCTGCTCCTTGCTGGTGGTTATCTGGTGTTTGCTCTCATCTCTTGTCCTGCTGGGAATGCTGCGGTCACCGCTGGAACTGAGCGACCTGGGAGCTGGCTGGAGCTGGCTTTGGGGCTGCGTGCTGCTCCGTGGGAACGACTTTGCACATCACCACATCCCCCAGCTGGTGGAGGAGGCTGCGGTGCCGTGCGTGGGGCACGGCTGGGGCGAGCAGTGAGGGTCTTTTAGTGCTGGTAGCTTTTTAAATGCCTTGTTTTAATTTAAATACAGTCCGACCAAGCTTAATGGTGCTGCAGTTGAATCATCTGGGTTGTGCTGGAGGCTTGGTTCTGCTGTGGGGGGCAGGGGTGGGGTTCATTCTTTCTCGAGGCTTTGATTGGGTTTTGGTGAGGTGAGGAAATGGTCCTTTACAGCTGGGGCTCCCACGTGGTGCTGTAGGAGCCCTCCAGACAAAACCCTGAGGGAAATGGTGTGTTTTGTGTCTCTATCGTGTTCTCATTTACTGAATTGCTTTATTTCCTAATGACTTGAATGTAGCTGCTGTTCTGAGGAGGGTGGTGCTTCAGAGTGGGCAGTTTCTGGGACCTGAAGTGGGTTCTGATGATGTGTGATGATGATGGGATGGTGCGGGGTGGCTCAGGAGGGCTGGGAGCCCATGCTGTGTTCCTGTGGCCGCTGGGCATTTTGTTGTGAGACTTGTGAAGGGAGCACATGGATCCATCAGCGTGCCTCTGGCTGCTCTGCAGCCGCTCCTGCTGCTCTGTATTTGCCTTCAGCCACCTCTCAAGCAGCAAAGCCTCTCCTGCTGGGAAATGGGAATCCTTCTGGAGGGAAGAGGAGTTCTGCAGCCAGCACTGCCTGTAGCAGGGCGCTCCATCACCCCCCTGGAACAGGACTCACAGTTCCACAGAGCAGCAGGGCCGGTGCTAAAGCTGTGCTGCTGCTGCTGCTGCTGCTTGTGTCACAACCTCAGTGACAGCAGGGCAGAGCTGCTGCTTTGCTATGGCTCTGCTGTGCTGCACGGAGCTCTTCCTCCATGCCCACGTGGTGCTGCAGGAGCGTGGCCTGGCAGCTGTGCTGCTCCCATTGCAGACACCTCACAGCTCAGCCTGCTCTGTGGGAGCCCCTTTCCTGTGCCCTTCTGCAAAAACAAACAAAAAAAAAATGGTGCCTTAGGTGGAATTCTGACTTTTTCTTGTGTTTTGTTTTTCTTTTTTAATGTTTTTTAAGCTGCTGTTCACACCTTGCAGAACAGGGAGGACGGATTTGAACTCAAACTTCTCATTTTAAAACAAGAACAACACCAGCTTGGGTTTGAGAAGGCAGCAGCATCAGCTGGGTTGTAGGGCAGCAGCCAGTTCTGTGGGGCTGCTGTGTGCTGAGGAACACGGGTCCAACGTTACAGCTGTCATAGCTGCAACCCAACCAGCCCTCTGTGAGCCTTGATTGTGCAAAAAGAACAAGCAGCAGCTGGCAGCTGTGTTTGAGGGGCGCTGCTCTTCTCTGGCATCACTTCTTGCCTGTTCTATGGGCTAAAGGCGTTCTGCTTTTATCGTGCCTGCAGTCACGCTTGGTGTGAGCCTCTCTGCCTCAGCTCCTGCCCAGCTCCCTGCCATGCAGGAGCTCGCTGTGGGGCGGTGTTGCTCCTCTTATCCTGCCCAGATAGAAGCGTGCTCCTGCCTTTGTCCCCCTGTGCTGTGTGTCCTGGGAGTCCTGGGCTGTGGAGGAGAAAGCTGTGTGTCCGGCTGGGCTCTGTGATGTCAGCCTGCAGCTGTAATAGACGTCTGCTGGTGCAGAGAATAAAGTCCTTAAACTCTGACCTCTGTCTGCCTCTTTCCGTGGCAGAAGGGCTGCAGCTGCCGTGCTGCCATCGATTTCTTCCTCTGCTTCTCTGCTCCTGGGCTGGCCTGGAGCTGCAGCTCTGCAGGCACAAGGAGCAGAGCCCTCTGTTTCAGAGCTGTGCTCCCATTGCAGTGGGGTTGGAGCTCCCTGCTGGATGCAGACCTGCTCTGTGCTGCTCCCTGTCCCCAGGGAGTGCCTGAGAGCGCCGTTATGAGGGGCTGAGTTAAGGGCAGAGCACGCAGGGCTGCAGAGCAGGTGGCCCACAATGGGGCTGTAAAACCTGCTTAAAAAGCAGCAGTGACTTCCAATCCTCTGGGGGCTGAAGCGGAGAGCAGGATGGGTTTGCTTGTTTTTGTTTTTTCTTGCCTCCATCTGTCATCCTTAAAAGTGATGCTGAAAGCAGCTTATGGCTTCAGTAGCTTTTGCCACGAAGCTGAGCACTCGCTTTCCCATTGCTGTGCCTTTGTGGCCCATGGGAAGCTCTCCTGCATTTTGCAGTGTCTGCGGCTTGGGGAAACAGGGGCTGCAAAGGGGCGGCAGCTGCAGGCACCCTGGCAAACCTCCCCTCTGTGTTTCCTCTGTGCTGCAGTTGGGCAGCAGCTGGGCTGTGATGCAGCACTGCTGTGGGTCTGCTCACTCCTGGTCCCGTGTTCTGCTTTTGGGACGGCGTTGTTTGGGCTGCAGGCAGGGCGTGCTGCCTGTGGGCAGCTTTGCAGCTCTGCAGCCACAAGAAGACATCCCCCTTTGTTTCTGTTGGATGAACTCTGGCGATGTTTGCTCGGGCTTAAGGCTTAAGCAAGGAGCCATAAAAAGGAGACTCACTTCAAAAGAAGAAAGTGGAAGGAGGCCAGGAGGAACGCTGCCAAGTTCTTTCTCTTTCCATCAGTGCAGGAAATCCCCAAAACTTTGGGCTTTGTCGCATCAGGAGTGACAGCCTGACCCCAACTCTGACCCACACAGCACGGCTGCTGTGGGGCAGGGAACAGTGCCAGCCTGACTGGTCCCTATTAGCAGCGCCCAGCTGGGAAGTGTGGGCAAGAACCGAGCAGGGCTTGGAGGGCAGCACCAGCATTAACCTGGGCTGAGTGGGAGCTGCGCCGCAGCCCTGTGGCATCGCACGCTGCTGCCCATCTCCAACATGGCTCTCTCTAATGAGCTTCTGCCCCAGCCCAGAGCCATCAGTCCTGCCAGCATGGAGACATTGTGCCTTGAGATCCAGCTCCTCCTGAAGAAGGCAACCATGCTTGAAGATTCACGCTGTTCCACATTCTGAGCTTCCCCCTTCCAAAGCAGTGATGGCTTCACGGGAAGCAGCGCAGCAGGCACAGCTGTGTGGTGGCTGTCCCTCTCTGCTGGCCCAGTGTCCTCATTCCTTGTGGCTTTGCTTCCACGACCATCCTCGGCCCATGGACAACTTGTCCCATGCTGTGGCATTATTTTGGGAAATGGGTGAGCAGGACTGGTATCGAGCCATCATCGCCCCAGGATGAGTGCAGGGGACGTTTGTGTGAAGCACTGGGGGCACAGCAATGTGCCCAGCTCACCTCTGGCCCATGGGGACAGCAGCAGGGAGGGATGCTGCAGCCCTTCCCTTCTCCTCCCATTGGGAACCAGCGGGACAGTGGCCACGCAGTTGGCTGTGGGGCTGCTCACGTGCCAGCCCCAGCTGCAGCACCAGCAGCCCTGGTGCGACTGCAGCGTGGGATGGGGACAGCCCGAGGGGGGCTTTGTCCTCAACGTGGCAGCTGCTCACAAAGCAAACGTGGCTGTGGCCTTGGAGACCACCGCTGCCCACACCAACAGCCCTGGGGAGCAAGGCATCCCCAGCAGCACACAAAGCCACCATTGTTGCTCCTGCGTTGCGGCTGAGCTTCAAACAGCGAGCGGCTGTCGCGTGTCGGCGCTGCTGTGATGCCGACGCATCCTTTGGAGCTGTGTGCTGCTGAGGGGGGCTGCAGCTCCTGGAAAACAGCTCCACTGCCATGGGGCATCCTTGGCACTGCATCCATGGGGAATGGATGTGCCAGGGAGGGTCGGGTTGGATGACAGGAGCAGCTTCTCCAAAGAGCGGTCAGTGCTGGCACAGCTGTACGGGGGGGGAGTTGCCATCCTGGGGGTGTTCAGAGCTGTGGGTGTGGGGGGGTGGGCTGCAGGTGGGCCTGTGGATCTTGGAGGCCTTCTCCAAATCAGCGCTGCGCTGAGCACGGCCAGGTGAAGGAGGGATGTTGCATCATTCCAGAGCAGGTGCTGGATGCAGAGCCGGGCCTTCTGCTGCCCTCCTTGTGCGCTTCATCCCGCATGGAATCATGAGAGCCCTGTGAAGTGTTTGCACGGAGCCCGCAGCAGCAACCTGGGCTGCTCTGTGTCCTGTGCTCCTGGGGTGGTGAGAAGAAAGGCTGTGAAAAAGCATGAGGTTAAAACAGGCGTTACTGAATCCTCCTCTCTTTGTGCTCACGCTCTGCTTTCGGCTGAAGCTGACCTGCAGCCTTTGTGCAGTCACTCACGTGGCTCCATCGGGGTTCAGGCGCAGCTTTTCCTTCTGGGAGGGATGAGGAGATCCCTGCATGGTCGGCACGGCAGCCGCTCCTCCTCATCCTAGGACAGCTAAAATTGCTGTTGCTATTGATAAAGGTGCATAAGCACAAAACACTTCAGCTCTTTGTGGCTCAGCTGCAATGAGGACTTTCAGCATGCAGTGCTGCCGGGAGCCAGGAAACACAGAGTGCCATTTCCTCGCTGACCACTACCGATGTCCTGGGGTGCTTTCCTCTTGTGTCACATTCCAACATCCAGGTAGCAGCAGTTGGGACTTGCACAAACAGCAGTGCCCGTGCTGCTGCACGTTCCCCAGGTGTGTCCCAGTGCCTGAGCTGTGCCCCGTGGCACAGTGCACTCCTGCTGGGTCAACAGGTGCAGGCATGAAGTCCATCCTCACTGTTTGTGCACATCAGCAGCCGCTGGATGGAACAGCAGTCAGAAGCATTGTTACACATATGGGTAAAACTAATTTTATGCTGTTTCTTTGTTGAGCAACTGGAAATGCTTGACAATTAATGGTCTGTAACTATTAGAGTCACAGAACCATATAATGGCCTGGGTTGCAAAGTAGCACGATGCTCATCCAGCTCCAACCCCTGCTGTTTGCAGGTCGCCAACCAGCAGCCCAGGCTGCCCAGAGCCACATCCAGCCTGGCCTCGAATGCCTGCAGGGATGGGGCATCCACAACTTCCTTGTGCAACCTGTTCTACACTGCATCAGGATGTAATTTTTGATGTTCCACAGAGCTCCTCTCGGCCGTCCTGGCAGAAAAGCAGAAACTGTCAAACAAACATCAGTGTTTAAAACCACAAGGATTGTGCTCAGCAAAATGTCTTCCATCCAGCAATGGATGGCAGAGGCACAGCCTCCGCTGCGCGGCTCCGTTTGCAGCAGGCTGCTCCCCAATGACAGCCTGCCTTCTCTCGAGTGGCTCCTCCAGCATTGGCCCAGCTCTGCTCCCCAGTCAAGGAGCCGTCTGTAGGTGACTGCTGGAGCACAGAGGATCTCTCCTTCCTTTGGCCAACGCTCTGCTGGGAAACCCGCGACAATAATCACTGCGTTTGTAATATTGGGTTACAAATCGCATCCTAATGCTCTTTAATAACTGGGCATGTTTACCCGACAAACACGGAGCTTCTCTTTCATCGCAGTCTCTCTGAGCTCCATTCCAGCCTATCATTTAATCTAAGCCCACGAGGAGCCCTGCAAACAACGCTCACATCGCCGTCTTTTCATCGTGCTGCCAAATGCAGTCGCTGGCTTTCCTTTCCCAGGCTGAATCCCGATGCTCTGTGGCAGCACACAGGGAATTCAGTACACAACTTTGTCAGCAGAGCCGTCAGTATGGGAGCAACTATATGTTCTGCTTCCAAGTTTCCTCCTGGAACGGCAGCGATGGGGATGGCAGCTGTTGGATCCAGGCCTTCCTCCAGGGCCGGCCAGGAGGGCTCCATGTGCACCTGGGCAAGGCAGCATCACCACGGAGCTCAGCACACAGCCCTCCCTCCCAGCACTGCCCTCAGAAGGCACTCAGCTCCTTTTGCAACCTCTGAGTGAGTGCCCCTGTTTAATGACCCCCCTCTTTAACGACCCCCCATTACCAACATTCATTCATTCATTCATTCTCCAGCTGCTCTGACTCCATCCCCTTTCTAATAACATCACATTCTCACCAATGCTTATTTAGGATGACTGTGGGAAGATTTTGAAACCAGATACAGGCTGGGCAAAATATTCATTACGGCTGTGGCTCATCTTCTCAACCAGGGAATTGTGTGTTCCTGCAGTGCTCCAAACC